ACGAGCACTGGCGAATTAATTACACGATTAATCGTTTTGTCACATGTGTTTGATTTGTTACGTTGCAAGCAGCTTAACCTGCTCTCGACGTTAATCCTTGCCCTTGGTGCAGGCTGGATCATTATCACGAGCATCGAATACTTTGTCTATAGCAAGTCTATTTTGAAGCGAAAAACTGAATGACGAAGCCTTTTCTTTTTTTTTTTTTTAAATCATTCTTAATTCTTTCGAAGAGAATTTTCAATATTTGTATCAGGAAATTCGATAGTGAGGGATTAACTCTTAAGTGAATTTTCAATTTTGATGTAATAATTGGAATTTATGTTTCATTTTTATTGAACTGGTAAATAGAAATAAATTTTTCATTTGTGACATTCTATATAACGAGACAGTAATAATGAATCAATATAATCAACAATATAATTATTATTGATCCACTAATTAGTAGTAGTGATTCAAATTAAGAGTTAAACTATGTTCGTATAATTTAATAATTTTATTTTAAAAACAATAATAAATAACGTATTATTAAAAATTTCGATTAATAATATATTATTTATTGTTTCCAATATTATTGAATATTTTTATTATTTTATAATTTTATTACAATTATTATTATTAATAATACGTTGTTTATTATTACTTTTAAAAATAATAATAAAAGCTGTTAAACTATATGAATGTAGTTTAATGTCCTGACATCTAATCTCCAGATTTTCTATTGACAGTGAAAATTACATTGCATATAAATATAAATAATATAAAAAGATTATTAAATTAATAATTTTTTAATAATTGACAACAAAGTTTGAATTTCCATAAACTCAAGAAATGAGACCTGATAGATATTTATAACTTTGCTTATTAATTTTTTTTTATATATTTTTGCATGTTGCACACGTTGCAATCTTTTATAAATGCATGAAAATCTACAATAATACAGGGAAAATAATAAACGTAAAAAAATCTGAATTAGAATCAATTTCCGCCATTAACTAAAATGAGTTAACTAACAAACTCGAAGAATCATTAAGAAATTCTCTGCCATTAGTATAACAAACACCCACCAATTATGTATAGTGCACCTAAGACACAGGTCACTTAAGTAACTTTAAAACTAATTATTCAGAACCAGAAGTTTAAAAATAAAAACTATTCCTTCCTCAGGAGGATTAAATACGACAGAATAAATACATATTTAATCTTTAAAAGCAGAAGAGGCAAAGTAAAACTCTGGATATTCATTGTAGAAATTTAATGAAAAGGGTTAAATTCAACATATAATACATTTGATTATTTAATATAATCAATACAATTTAATTAATCTATTGTAATCTCCAAATTAACAGATTGTGGATTTTTATTGTTGCATATTGTATGCGTTGTATGCCTTGTAAACTTTCTCTAAATACGTAAAAATTCGTGGTCTAATAATTAAGCCTCATTCGTTCCCCATTTTCTCCTTCTTTGATGCTAAATTGGCACAAGATTGATAAAAAATTGATATCTATTCAATTGCAATTCTGTAACTTACTTTCAAGTATAGATGTTTGATTTTCTACCGCGATGTTTATACATTTTATACACATCTTATAAGAAAAACTGGTCTGGAATTAGCATGAAGGGTGGATGAATGGAAATTTATTAATCAGAAAGGGCAAACATAATATAACATAATAAATTTTTAATTTATAATACGATACAATAACTTGAATATAATAACTTTTTAATTTCTAGGTCTATCATTTTTTTATAGGCGTATCATTTTCATTGAAAATATATAAAGGTCGAGATTGACAAAATTAATTGTTAATTCTACAGTTATGGAAGTATCAAATTAAAAAAAAAATTATCCGATTAAGCTTAATGCTGGTCAGGTTTGTAATACAAAAGAAATGAGACTAATGCGTCGAACATTTTCATCGAACAAATCTGGTTATTTCTCATCGTAGTTACAATATTCTAACGTGGTTGATCAGCAAAAATAACAAAAGCCATGAAATTTGTACGGAAAGCAAAACTCCGAAACAATTTCAATTAAGCTTATTCCGTACGAATAACAATTGTAAGTTTTCCGAAGTGGAATAACAGCCTGTAATTACGATCAGAATGTAAATGTGGCGTACAAATTCCTGATATTGGATACATTAATTAATTTCGACATTCCAGAAGTGTAAGTAATTACAATGTAACTCGCATCTGGTACGACGAATGAAAGATAATAAAGGAACGATAATTTATGAAGAAGCAAACTTTGAATCGTTGTGAACAGAGAATGTACATCGAGGATAGAAAACATTTGAATAAATACGAAAGAAGGTATACGATCAAAAGTATAAGCAATGAAATACTAAAAATCGTAAAACAATTGTAAAATTTAAAAAATTCCAAAATAATAAAATGCTAAACACAACAGATGCTTGTAAAACTAGAAAATTGTAATAAAATACTAAGAATTGTAAAATAATTGTAAAATTGAAAAATTCTGAATGAAATAAACAAGCAATAAAACAAAATGCTCAACATTGTATAAATAACATACAATTATGTAAGTAATTATAAAATAACAAAATACTAGAAAACACTAGAAAGTGTTAAAAAAAGATTTATATCTAACAAATTTTCGTACATCACACATTAAATAAATTATTTTTATTAAAATAAAATACTACAAAAATTTTACTATGAAGCTAATGCATTACTGTGCTAATGATAATACTTATCAAAATAAAATATTAGACAATATCAGTTTCTAAGATTAGTTCATTCTATGCAATTTTTATTGCAATGAAATATTTTACAAAAAATGAAATTTTACAGATGACGGATTCTAAATTATTTTTATTAAAACAGCATACTACAAAATTTCACTGCTATTTATTTATGATATATCACTGCAGAATATATGATATATCACTGTATTAAATTAAAAAAAAAAAAAACACTACAAAACTATTGATTTAATAATGTTTATTAAAATAAAATTCTATATTTCGCTGCAAAGAAGACTAAAAGTTCTTTTATTATTATTTTACATGTTAAGAGATACTTCTTTTTATTATTATTATTTTATATTATTCTTTTATTATTTTATATATACGAAAACTTTTCTCTGACTATACGCGTAACAAATAATTAAAGCACATATATATGATAATTCAATGCTACAAATAATTAGAAATAATCATGAAATGAATGAAACTATTATTATAATAATATTTTTAGAAAATATAATAGAAACGCGTATGTATAATATCAAACTCTCGCTATTCTATTTACATTCGTCCAATTATATACATAAACGTACGCTTAGACTGCCAAATATACGCAGAAGAAGCCCTGTCTTTCTAAAGTTCTTATTCGCGAACCGTGCCTGGAGCATTATTACACCCTTGAAAAAAGAAAAAGAAAAAAGTCTTTTCACGACGACTTCGAACGTCCCGGACCGCCAGATATCCGACGTAGTTGAGATTTCATTTCATGAAATATCCTTCACACACGCGAAAATAAAACGAAACCTTCAAAAAAATACAACGTATGTCCTTACGCATGCTAATATACACCGTGAGTGTTTCATTATGATTAAATTCAACAGATCCCGAGTGGTCATCCTAATTGGGAATAATTTAATAGAAAATTAATATCTTAATCGATGGGAGAGCCTACAGATAATTAGAGATAATCAGATCTACATTTTAGAGTAGCCTGAGCTATCGATACTGCACGAATCGTTAATCGAAGGTAGAAAATTACCAATTGGATGGTAAATAAAATCACATCGATAATTATCATATCAATTGTCACGAACGAAACAATATCATATATCGAAGTCACGATATCATATATCGAATTTCACATGTTTTAACATCCCCTGTAGCTATTAACTTTTATCATGACACATCGAACTAATACCCTCCTAGTCTTCATCCCATTATATGAAAAAGATTATCTTTGTGACATCCTAATTTCATTTTCGAAATAGGAAATATTTCGAAATTCAAATGGGAAAAATTTCGGTTATATTGTGACATAATCGATAGTTATCAATAAATTTGACATAATCGAAAGTTTACTTCACTTACCTTAAAAGGTGCTTTAATCGAACGACGCTCTGTCATGCTGCACAGTATCGCATCATTGCTATCACGATCTGAAATCACTCACTGACTTCTTGTCACTCATCGTTCGAGAAACACGAAAGAAAATCGACAACAGTCACACGACGACGCTTCTTCACAGAACGGTATCTATAAACTGAAAGCCGGACGAAGACCACGCGACCACGAAACTACCCGCCAACCCGATCGTCCCCGACTTACCCCGAACGAAAACGAAAGATTACGAACGAAGATGGCCGATGTTTTCCGTAATATTCGAACGTACGTCCTGTGCGATCTGAAATTAACGAAACAAGAAGAAAAATGAACGAATAAAGAACATTATTTGCTCGAGGATAATGACTCCCTCTACGATAATACTTTTAACGATCAGTTTCATTTTTTTATTTTCAACAGTTTCAATTTCGATTCGTTATAATGATAAGATTCGAAATTCGTTATCGACAAATTTTATGACCTAAATCTTTTCATAACGAATAATTTAAAAATAATTTTAAAATTTTAATGGTGTTGTAGGTATCATCATTAAGTAGAGAATACAAATCACACTACGATATCACTATGCTATTAAACTACCTGCAATTTCGAAAATATGTAATTTTTTAAAATAGATAATTTCTCTCTGTTTGGTCTTTTTCACATTGTTTGTATAATATTCTTTTTAAACCTCGATTTCAGAGAAATATTCGTCGAAAAATATTTACAAAGAAAGTTCATTCATAATACAACAGCGCAATTCTTATTTTAACCGTTCTTAAAAGAACAAACCACTGTTCCAGAATTTCTTACCTCATTTTTGTTCACTGCGATAAATTTGCACGTAGTAAATGGATTAACGACTCGTCTCTTTTTGTTTTTAAATAACATTAATCTCTCTTTGAAACAATTCGTGTTGATAATCGGAAGAGAAATGGCGCAAACGATACAAATTTCGTGGGACATTTGAAATCAGAACAGATGGCGATAGGGAGTCCGCGGTTCTAAGTTCGTAGTGAAAAATGGCCGGCGCAAACGATTGTTTCAGCATCGGGAGTACCGTGGCCTGTAAAACCTGTTACAAGGAGGAGATCGAAGGCGAGGTGCTAGCATTCGATCCACAAACTAAAATGCTAATCCTAAGTATCCTTTTCTTATAAATTCCCTCAAAGTATCGTTCTTCCCGAAAACTACATGTGTGTAGCGCTCATCCGTCGCTCGTTTAACATTGCCGCAGTGTAAATAACTTTAAAGCTATCTATGATAGATATTGTGAATTTCAATGAATGGTCACAGAGTTACGTTTCGCGATTTCACACGGGAAACGTGCAATATCGCTTGTCAATTATTTGATCATCACCTAACCAGTTACACAAAGTCAGGTTAGTTTCGTCATTCAATCAACCATGCTGGATTTTTCGTTGCTTTTCATTGCTCTGTTTATTCGTTTTTCCATGTGTTTTCATGCATCACGTGGAAACTTTCATTTTCATTTTTTCTAATGATTCAGAAACAGAAACATTTTCAGTATAGAAAAAAAGTTAGAAAGCTAGGCTTATAACCTGAGAATTTATCTTGTAGCCAGGTTTTCTATGACTGAAATATCATGAATGAAACTGCATTTAACTTTCATATTTGAATGATAACAACGATTCCTTAACTGATGTCTATCAGAATGTCCGTCATCCAGCGGAACACCAACGTTAAACGATGTACACATAGTAAATTTATCCTTGGTATCAGAGGTCCAAGTAAAACGGGAAGTTAGCCCTACGACAACTGAACCCCCACAAAGCCTTAATTTACAAAAGCTGAACAGAAGAGTACGTAATCAAATTGAAGAGAAAAAAAAACTGGTAATGGCTCTGCAGGCCGGAGTATCTCCAGAGGGACAAAAACTCTTCAGTACTATATCAAAAACTATCCCAGAAATTACGTGGAGTGGAGCAAATATTGTTGTATTTGACAATGTCACAATTAGACCGCCGTATAAAGTTGACAATGTTCATGGAAACACAGAGTCTGGAGCATACAAACATGTAAAGAAAGTGGTGAGTAATTTGAAGAATTGGTATATCGTAATGCATTGTAATCCATGTGTTTCGTTAATCCAACAGGTTGAAAAACACATTAAAGATACAGAAGCATCGCAACAGGCACAACAGCGGGAACAACAACAACAGCAGCAGCAGCAGCAGCAACAACAACAGCAACAACAGAAGCAAAAAGGAGGTGCGATGCAATAAAATTTCAAAAAGGCTCTATACCACAAATAAAGCTACCATGCTTTCACAGAAGTTCCAGTCTTTGAGGAAAAGTAGGAAATGATGATAACAAGACATTAAGACAAAAAAAGCGCCACTGCAAAACTACTACATAAGCCTATCAAGAAAAACCAGCATTACAAATTAAGTTCAGATTTATTCAAAATGAGAACGCACTTCACGGGAATCAAGTGCAAATCGATTATCAGAATTTTAAAGGAGTATCAAGCCCATTGATAATATCGTATGAGCAGCATTTTGTAAATCTTTTCTTTTTTATCTCTTTTGATTTTTTAGCAAAGAGCATAATCTTTCATGAAGAATGCTGTTTATTTTATATAACAAGCTGCCATACAAATTTAGATTTTGCTGGAACTATTGTTCATACATGTGCTCCGATGCAGGTGTGTTTTAGTTTAGTTTAACATTGTTACAAAATACGTTTAATAGTTGTTTACAGATTATTGATGATGGTAGCATGATTCGATTGCCATACGAATATCAACAACTTTTTAACTAATGCAAATCGGTGGTCACCATATAATTTAAGTCCGTATGAAACGGTTCAATATATTTTTAACTACTACCACCAATAAAAAAAAAAAAAAAACACGATCAACGAAAATTTTCATACGCGAATCATCTGACTTCGATACAGATTAAAATTTTATGTTCACTCGCTGATTGTAATACCATTTCTTTTTAAATCGCTCATTATAATACTGTCGATCTCTTGGAATTTGTAAACAAACGAGGAGACAAACGTAAAATGTTGCACTTCATTGCGCCTGCGTCGGCACGAGACGTCTTCAGTCGCGATACGACATTGTAAAATGAAAATGGACATTCCCTTGCACAGAGCAAGCTAAAAAATTGTTATTTAAAAGAAAACATCAAGCTTGGTCTGTGCAAGGGCAATCTACCCCTCTAATTTGCGGGTAATTTCATTTGCAATGAGATAAAATACAGAACTCGCCTCGTGCCCTTCACGTTTTGAACGCGAAGAAAATATAAGACAAAAAAAGGAAGGAAAGAAAGATTATAAAAATTAATTACATAAAAAGACACAAATAAATGTAATATAAATTCTATCATCAATGTTTAACATTTATTCCCGTGATCGATATTTCTATCGAGGAAAGACTATCACCTTACGTTACACTGTTTTCTGTACTGAACAAAATTTTCTATAAAAATAATCTACCGTTCTTCATTCTATATTTTCGTCTAATTCCTCAATCGTTTCCGTAATATTTGTATTTCGTACAATTGCGTTCAAGTCGTGTGTTACACGAGCTATTCGAGCAGCGGCTTTGAATTTGATAGTTATTCGTTGTTTCTCAGCTTTCTTTTTCCACTGAAATTATATGAAATTACACATTAGCATTTTATTAAAGAAGCAAATTTCTTAAACGTTTCAAAGAAATGTAGAAACTGCAAGATATATTTAAATAGATTTATATACCTATTATAATACCAACTGTTGTACTATTTTCCTATACATTTAATTTTACTTCTATGTGTGCTTTTATTGCAGTATTAGAACACAAAAAAAGATAAAATATCTCTCCTTTCAGTTTTATTAAATAAATTTATATACAATCGAATAAAAAAATTATGACAATACTCTTTTTAAAATATGGTTGGAATTAAAAAAGTAACTAGATTTAATGCTCTCTCCTAAAGCAAGAGAGAGAAAAGAAAGAGAAAGAGAGAGAAAAACATCGTGGTTGAGTGTTTTGAGTGAACGTTTTAAGTTTGTTATACTATCCGCGTGTTCTATATATAATTTTCTTTTTTCTCTAATCAAATGAAACAAGGTAATTTTAATCAATCTTATCGGAAATCGCATTGAATTTTATGAAACTATATACGGACCTATCCATAGAAATTACGACTAATTTCGTTTTTGAGCGGGACATTGTAATAAGCGAAATTTTGATAAAACCAATTGTAAATATTTGTAGAAAAGTGTTACAAATTCTGTCAAAGTTATTTATTCAGTCCTACGGATTTATAAAGTCCAATAATAATTCTTAAACAATCTTAATGAGATCGATGCGGCAAGTGTTTATCCTAACCTATTTCTAAAGTTGACAAACCATTGACTGTATAAACGTGTTCTTCGTTGAATAATTTTGCTCGTAACAATTAAAAAAGAGAATTAATAATAAAAAAGCACGAGATAAAACTAATGGGAGACACAAATTATTGTCCCACATGTGCAGTTTCTACAATCTTATTGAAAACACGTTCTGTTTGTTTACTAGTGTGATAATACTTGTGTGTGCAGTTATTAACTCACATTTTCATCACGTGATGGTAAGTTTGCAATGTAATCTTTCATTTCTTCCTTTTTTGGATCTGTTATAGCTAAAACAGATACACAACCATCTACCGTTCCTAGAACTATACTTTTGCCATCATAAGTACTATCAATGGCGCTTAGTTCTGCTTGAACCCTGTAGTTTGCTATGATCTCACAGTCCGATGATCTATGAATCAAGTATATGACAAAAATTACCATCATTTTAATGTTTCTTCTATTTACCTGAATACACGTATGGTTTTTCTTCCACTATGGTAATAAAGAACATATTCATCTGTGCGGTTGAACATGGATATTACTGTGAAAACACCCTCTGCAACTTTTGGAATATAGGTCTTTACGGTAGTACCTTTCTTCAATTCTAAAAGCTCCAAACCGCCTCTGAAATATTGAATTTGTTGAAGCGGTTGAAACTTCTTATTGAGAATGAAAATTCTCAAATGAAAATTACCTGCTAGGCGCGTATAAAGTATATTTCCCATCTTTGCTGATATTGCCACACCACTTGGGAATTGTACGGATAAACTTTTTTTTATTTATATCCAAAATGGTACCTTTATCAGATCCAATGATTCCTACCCAATGTGGTTTATTCGGCATTGGAGTAATACATAAAATATCCTATTAAAAAAGTATAGATTATGCAAAATTCTTTGTTTTATGAAATACGACTTTCTTCTTTTTATATGTTGAAATTCTTACTTTAAATCCTGGTAATTTTATTGGTATTTTACTTATTAGTGCTCCAGTATTTGCATTATAGATGATGACACAATCTCTGTTGCCCTTGTCAGATGCTGGAGCAATCAAAAAAGAATTGTCAGAAGTCATTACAACATTCCGAAATGGTGTACCCGTGTGACTTCTGACTAAATACTCCAACGTAAACATTCTCTTGCCATCTATTAATAATGATTGATTGTTAGTATCATTGTTAGTACCATTAAGAATCTCTAAGTCTTAAGCATTAATTATCAATTTACCAGGAATAGTTCTCATAAAAAGAGTAGCAATGGTTTTCATGTTTTCTACTCCTGCGGGATTTTTTGGCCTTGAAACAGCTATGAATTTAGATGAATTTTCGACCAACATTAATTGCCTCACATGCTGCTGCTCCTCTTTGAACAATACTTGCTCTGTAATTCTGTTCCATATCAGTATGTTACCTGATTCTGTTGAAACGATATACCTGAAACATCATCTTTGATGAATTAATTGTAACACGTGTATATAGGATCATTTTAATGATTCACATGGTTTCCTTGTTTTTTTATACGACAAATTCTACAAAATTGAAATTAAAATATTTTTTAAATTCATTAATTTTTGATCATATTATTTTAATATTTTTGTACGTAGAATAAGAGGACTTGATGTATATGAGAAGGAAAGATTTTCATTCGAAAAAAGATAATGCAGTTATAAATGTTGTGCAGAAAACATGAATATGTATATTTTGTCTTGAGCATATATTAGTTTTCCTTGAACTATTCATCTTTTTTTTTCTAATTTCCTTCAATGAAATCATATTACATTATTCTGTATGTATAATGTATTATTGGGAAATTCTCAACGATATTTAAGAATTTATATCTTATTAAACAAATACAATTTAAATAACATTTTAATTAATTAACTTTTCTTTTCTCTTTAATCAACATCAACAAATCTGGAATTAACAATGTCTTTCTACAGAATTATTATATAATATATTATTATATAATCTATTGAGAATTAATGTTTAATGCAACGTTCATTAGCAATCTTTTTTCAGTCAATTTATACTATCAAATTTTATTTTTTAATATTGCAGCTATGAAACGAAATTTTAAAGCTCAAAAGATTTTTATATCTTCCACCCAAATTCTAAAATTTTATAAAATTTAAAGACATTGGAACATTTATATAATAATAATTTTTAATTATGTTTATACAGTAATAATTTAAAAAAAAATGTTTATAATATAAATCATTGATCCTTAATGGGTTAAATAATCTGTACTGTTTTTTTCTTTCAATTCAACTTTTCATTTTCTTTTCGACAGTAAGTCATTTTAAGTAGATTTGTGCCATTAAAATTTTTTTTTAAATTAATATACGAATAATTGAACTGTTTCATTAATGAAGATGAATATGATATCCCAGTTAAACATCTTTTTATCGGGACATTTGATTTATTATTAGTATTGTCTTCTTGAAAAACAATGTTTTCCTTATTAGTGAATTCTAGATATTCCTTTATAATTATTATATAGTTTATTCTGCCAAGCTTTTAGTTAGTTTTAGAAGCAGCATTTATCTGAATTATTATTTAACTCTGCTCTTGTATTCTTATTTAAAAAATAATTTTAATTTAATTAAATAATAACAAACAAAATTGATGTTTATATTAATAAGAATTATTCTTTAATTATGAATAATTTTAATTTAATTTAATTTAATTATGAATAATTTTTTAATTATGAATTATTCTTTAATTATGAATAATTTTAATTTAATTAATTTAATTATGAATAATTTTAATTTAATTTAATTTAATTTAATAATAGATATTATATTTCGACAGATATTAAATTTTTAAATATTCGACAAACGAAGTATTGCAAAGAAAGAAAGAAAGATATCTAATGAGATATCATAAAAGATATCTGATGAGACATCTGATGAGATATGATAAAAAAAGTGAAAAAGAGAAGAACAACACTGTTAATATTACGAATATTCTTCTTTCAATCTCATAGAATCATCGCATCTAAGAATCTTGCCAGAAAGAAACTACAAAATTTCTAAACAAATTAATATCTATAGTTATTTACTAACTTTCCATCGTGAGTCATGCAAGCATGAGTGACAATTGCTCCCAAAGGACTATCCGCCAATTTTGAGATCAGTCTTCCCGTTTGCAAGTCCCAAATTCCTACACAATCTCTCGTCACTGTTGCTGCCAAGTTGCATTCTTCTGCCAAGCTTTCAACATAATTAAAAAGAAAAAAAAAAAAACCACGAGTAAAAACAAACTCGATTCATATTAGAATTAGATATTAGGATAGAATCTCTAATACCTTATCATATCGATCTGCAACTCGTGCCTGTCGATTACATGAACCTGTTCGAAGATATTGTTAATATTCCATACTTTCACGCTTCTGTCGATACTCGATGTCACAACACTGTTCCAATTCCCAATGGTCAATGCTTCTAATTGAATAATCCTTGCAAAGTGGGCATCCAGGATTTTCACCAATTCGCTTGTTTCAAGATTCCAAACGTATATATTTTTCCTTCGGAAATGAGAAAGCTTTCATTTAATTTTTTTTTTTCTTTCTTCTCTACCAACGCTGTGGCGACCGGTTAATTTTGAACTTTTATTAACAATAGATTACTCTGAATTAACAAAACATATAGTAAGAGGTATAACTAAACATATAACTTCGTAAAAATAAATCATATATAATCTACTTCGTTTTATTTGAAAGCATGAAGTTTGTAGTTTGATTATCCTCAGTTCGTTTTTTTTTTTTTTCTTTTTTTTCCAAAGTTTCATGACTAGATCCATCATGATCTTGAAAATTGCAATTTTCTCCTTACAACGATTCTATAAAACTTGCTATACGATCTTTTTTCTTGCCATTTTATTAACGTTAGAGTTCAAAAATTCAAGAAATCTTACCATTTCGTCCCTAATCTACATTTTTTAAGAAAAATTCAATTGAATTTTATTTTCAGATTGCAGAAAAGCAATTCTTTTATTATTGAAAAAATAATAATATTATTATTATAACAGTAGTATTATTGTATGTATTTTTGTGAATTAAAGAATGGCACCAGTGGTTTTTTTTATCTCATGGTTTCCACCAAATTTTCTCCGTAGTATGAAAACAAGAAAAGGAAAATTTAGCCAGAAATTTGTTTTATCTGCTAAATATCACAGTAATCAGCTATACAACTTTTGTTGTTCATCTTTTTATTTTATATATCATACCAAATTGTGTATAAATATTTTATAAATATTTTTTATTAAACATAAAAACCTATACTCTGATACTATATATATCATTCACACGATTCTTTCGAACTATCGCTACTGTTGCGTCACCGATCGTCGTAGCGTTAAATACAATCATTTAATTTAATCGTCAAACATACCTGACACCAGCAACGGCGTAATTCTTACTGCCACTGATCATAATCGAATTCGAGCACATCATCTTCGTGCTGATGTTTCTAACTCCATTGGGCAACATCAAGACGTATGCATCGCTCTTACTCTCTAAGAACCACGCGATGAAACCATTGGCACACGTAGCTAGAAGCATCTCCTCTTCCCTGTCCAGCTTCAATTGCAATAAATATTCTACATCGTCGTTGAAAGCTCTGGGCATGTCGAAAGCTTTTTCCCACTGACAGGATGTTTCGTCGCTGACGTATTTCGTGACCCGATAATCTTCCTTCGTTGTACAGGCGTACAGAACTTGTCTGTTGTTAGCCATTACCATTACACTACGAGATAGATATTACAGAAGAATATTAAGATTGATTGGGAAAGAATTAACTTGCTATGCTTTTTTTAACATCGAGACTGTTCCCGCAAGACCCGATTTCTGTTTCCTGCATCGGTTTCTATTTTTATTTGATATTTCTACATTTGATATATTTGCTATTGTCCAGTTGCCGCAATTTCTCAGCAATCGAATAAATATTCTAAATATAGTGTGGGAGTCTGTTTTTCGAACCGTTCGGAGGATAAGGCGATTCGGATAATTGGATCGTTCGGATAATAGGAGTAATAGGAGTATTTCTTTTCTCTATGGTTTCTTCGTTCGTACGATAGGTGCTGATATTCGTATAACTGGATTTACACGGTGGAACAATAAGTTTGATAACTATTTGAATTGCGAAAGTCACGTATATGCTACGAGCTTTAGTTCACATAAGAACTTAGTCATATGTTCGCTTAATTGATCGTTCTGATAATATGATATGATATATATAAAATATGTATGTATTATATATATATAACATACCATTATATATACATACTATATACATATACTATATATATGATATAATAAATATATTCTATTTCAAAATAAATTTTTGGAAGTTACAATTTTATATATTTTACAATTTCGTATGCAAAAT